CATTCTGTTTGAAGTAGATAAGCTGGCTTACTAATATAATGAACAAATAATAACAAAATTAGATTAGCAAGGATTTTAAAAGAAAATAATGAGGAGGGATTACCTTAGCTATTTTAAAATTCTTCATGTTACAGTAAATGAATTACTGTGACATCAGTGAGGGGATATAGACAAATCAATTCAACAGATTACTAAGTGCCAATAGAGACAATATAATTAGGAATGTTGTGTTTTATTAAGAAGTTATTTTATCAATGATTGCAAATTGATTATTCAATAAGTTGAATTACTGTATAGATACTTAGAAAAATGAAATTTAGTAATTCTTCATACAAAGAGAAAAAATGATTAATTTCTGCCTAAATAAAACATTACTCTAAAATACTCATAAGTATGATAGTGGTAGAGTGCTTGTGTGTCATAGCCACTGTCTGCTTTGAAAATACTAAGATGGAAGCTGGGCATGGTTGTACATACTTGTACTTCCAGCACTTAGAAGACTGAGGGAGGAGGATCTCTGCCAGTTTGAGGACACCCTGGGCTACACAGTGAGTTCAAGACTAGCCTTAAGTATTTAGAAAAAGCCTGTGGAAAGAAGGGATGAGAGAGAGAGAGAGAGAGAGAGAGAGAGAGAGAGAGAGAGAGAGAGAGAGAGAGAGAGAGAGGAAACGAAGGAAGTAAGGAAGAAAGAAAGAAAGGAAAAGAAAAGAACAGAAGAAAAGAAAAGAAAGGAACTCAAGACCAGAACAGATGAAGGTGGCCATGAAACAATACACAAATGAAGAGTTAAATCTCACACCAACATTTTTCTTTTTTGATGCATTATATTTTTGTTTATTAGAAAACGTTTCAGACATTGAGAAGGCATAGCCATGTTATTATGAACATTCATGTGTTTTAAATTCCAGATTTTGAAAGTAAACATGTCACACATTTGTGGAGCCTTCCATCTCTGACTGAGGTCTCTCCTCCTTCCTTAGGATCTAGTTAATTACAATGTTGCATTTGTAGTCACTTATTATATTTAGCGTTTTATATTTGTGATTTCTTCATATATTATGTGAGCACCGATATTTGCATTTTCACTGTTATCTGTGTAGATGTTTATTTATGTCTGTGTTTCTGATGGATTTGGGTAACTCGGAATTGGTATTTTAATACTTCTGTGAACAAATTGTTTCCGATTCACCTTCAAAATGATCCCAGAATCCACCCTAGTAACTCATCACGATCCAACTGTATTATCTCACAAGTCATTGCCCCCTTTGATCAATTCTCAGTACAGTGACAAGAAAAGTTTATGTAAAATATGCCAAATCCAATTCCTCCAATGACTGCTAAGTCGTTTCAAGTAAAAGTCACAGCCATCGTGAAGTTTTATAGATCCCCACAAGACTCCTAGTTACCTTCCTGATGTCATAATTTCTTCTCTCCCCTCAATTCAACCTCAATTCTTCCTTGCCCTTCTTTTGACACACCAAGCGTTCCTCTGTCTTGAGGCAGTACCTGTCACTATTTCTACCTTCCATAGTCTTAAACCAGACAGCGCCATCACAGAAACCATTTTACCTTTTTATCCGACTGCCGTAAACTGAATTTAACACATATCCTGGCATTTTACAATCACTCAATAAATGTTTCATACCGAAATCAGTGAGTGGGAACTAACATAGTCATCAGTATTACATGAATGTTTTTAGTACTCCTCATCGTTCAGCCAAACAACCTGGGTTAAAAGAAGCAAAGTTGCTATATTAACAATTAGCTGGCATAGATATCCTTGGTTACCTATTGACTGTAAAGAAATCATTAAGAAAAGAAATCCTAAAGAAACGATGATTCTTGGGGAGAAAAACACCAGTGTAGAACAGCAAAACAAGCAAATGATTTAATGGAATTAAGCTGAACTGTCCTCATCTGACCCCATCCATTTCTGTTTGCAAATCACCACACTGTGCTCCTACTTAACCTTCTGGAATTAGATATATGATTCTTTTAGTAGCTTTTATTTCTCTTGCATAACAATTATTTGTCCTTATGTTGCTTTTCAATCTCAACCAAATCCTGATATACTACCAGCAACTGCATTTGCATTTCTGAACCTTCAGGTGAGTTTTTGTCTTTGCCAGCTCTTACCTTGCCAGATAGTACTGTGGTACATAACAAGATAATATTATTTCAGTTTGCCAAAGAGAGATTTTCTTCACTGAAGACATTCTTACAAAGTGATAGCTCAACATAGCCATCTGTAAACAATAGTCAAAAGTTTTTTTTTTTTTTTTTCTCATTTTCAAAAATATAGTCACACTATGGAAGTTTAGGACCAAGTTTTAAGAACATTATTGTGGGACGGGGTTTATCTCTGTGGTTTAAGTGCCTGCCTGGTGAGCGTGAGGTTGTGAGTTTGATCCCCAGCCCTGGTACCAAAAAAAAAAAAAAAAAAAAAAAAAAAAAAAAGCACTTTTGTACGACATTTGTTGAATTTTCCTCCAAAATTTAGGAATAAGTAAAATATAATAGCAAAATGACAATGACAGTTAACTGTTAACTATTTTTGGAATCCAAAATGGAAGAAATTGCTCTTTTTTCAAGGAAAGTCATCCAGGTGGTTCTCCACACTCTTAAGACACCTTATACCTCACAAAGGTGTCAAATATATTCACTGGAAGAAGGATAACCTCCTTAATAAATGGTGCTGAAAAAAACTGTCTTTCCACATGCCATAGACTGAAACTAGACTCATGTCTATCATCATGCACTACACTAAAGTCAAAACGGATCAAAGATCTAAATATTCAGTTGTAGTACATCTACTGTAAGAGAAAGCAAATAGAAATTGTGAAGACATAGCTGTAGGCAGAGAGTTCATGAACAAAATCCAGACCACAGGGAAAATACAACAAAAAACAAATAGAATCTCACCTTATTTGAAAAGCTTTTGCACAGTATAAGAAATCACTAACAGAGTAAGAAAATCACACATTGAGTATGAAAAAAAAATATAGCCAGTCTTCTCTCAGACCAAAGACCTGGAACATATAAAGAACTGAAAAAAAATATCAGATCCCTCCTCCAAGGTCAAAGACCTAATCCCCAAACCAGTGTCTGAGATAAATACACGCTTCTCAGATGGAGAAATAAAAATGGCAAAAAAATGTACGAAAAATGTTCAACATCATTGGTCATTTGAGAAATGCAAACTAAAACAAATTTGAGATTTCATCTCACTCCAGGAAGAATAGCTATTATTAAGAAATCAACTGATAACAAAGGCTGGAGGGGCTTTGGGGAAAAAGGGACCTTCTCCATTGTTGGTGGGAGTTTAGGCTGGTGAAGCCACTCTAGAAATCAGTATACAGAGTCCTCACCACACCTGGACTAGAAATCCAATGTGACCCAACTGTTCCCCTTTTGGGTTTCCTACCAGAAGAATTAAAAATTCATGTGCACTGATGTTTATACCAGCACAATTTGTAATAGCTAAACCTTAGAAACCCCAAATCCCATTAGCTGAGGGAGGAATAAAAAAGATGTGGGTTTTTTTAAATACAACAAAGTACTCCTTAGCCATTAAAAAGGATAAATTTGAGACTTTTGTAGGTGTATGGATGAAACCGTAGACCATAATGCTAAGTAAAATAAATCAGACTTCTGTGTAAGCATCGTATTGTCTCCTACTGTGAGAAGCTGGATCCCAAACGAACAATCGATACTGTGAAATAGGAGGAAACTGTTCAAAAGGAAAGAGAAACTGGGATGGGGTAAGACAAAAGAAGGAAGGGGAAAGGAAAACAAATTTTATATATATATATATATATATATATATATATATATATATATGATAATTAAGATAGTTATACCACTAAGTTCTGTTAGCTCATTAAAAAGAAAGTTTTGTACTAACATTATTTGAACAAATTTCCTTACCTACATCTTATAGACTGAATAACTGCTTTGAAGATAAGGATACACAGTGTATTATCTGCTGTTGTTACTCTTCCATTATCTTGTTTTGAAATTTTTTATCTTCAAAATAAAAAATAAATAAATACATTGGGCATCATTTTATTTAATTACTTTTGGTAGGAGGATTGAACTCATGACCTCACGTTTGCCAGTCAGGTGCTTATGCCACTGAGCTAAATCCCTGGCCAATTTTTGAGAATTGTTTTAGTCAACTTAGCCTGCTACTATAAATTACCATGGACTGAGATGTTTATTAAAAATGATTTTTTACAGCCCTAAGGGTGAAAAGTCTAAGATCGACTTCTAGCATAGTCACACTCTGATGAGACACTTCAGATCTGTAGACTTCTGACTTCTGGTTGAAATAGAGCTAGGTAGCTCTTTGGCACTGATAAAGGCGTTAATCTTGTTCACGAGGAGTTCACTCGCATTAGCTAGCTGTCTCCCAAAGACGCCAGTTTTGGATATCATCACACTGGATGTTCAACATGAAGTTTGAGGGGGACACAAACATCAAACATTCAGTTCACTGGAGACTTATCAGAACAAAGTACCTTTGCTTGAATTCTTCAGTTATAAGAAAATTGTTACTATAATACAGACAGGAATTGAGTATGTTTCTATAAAATAAAAACAACAAACTGGAAACCTTTATAAATTCTGTATGTGAAGCAAACTGAATATCTACAAGAGCCAGGCCTCAAGAGACAAAGATAGAGTTTATGGAGACAATAATTTAGAAGCTATAAATTAAGTGTGCATGGCAGTATATACATAAAAAGAGTCTAAAAATTTAAGATATTTCACTGACCAGGATCAAAGTAAATAGGTTTTATTAGCTGGATCTTGAAAAACTCTCACTTTCTTAAGTCCTTGCCATTTTTGAAACTTATATACTAATAGTGTTAAATTTATCTTCTTTGGAGAAAACTGTATCTGTTACTTCCCACACTTGGGAAATAACTTTATGGTAACACTTCTTAACCACACTCACTGTTTTTCTCTGTGTGTATGTGTGTGTGCTTGTGTTGCAGGGAAGGCCAGCAATCACCAGAACAATGGCAGAAGACATATGGCAGGTGCTCTGGGAATGAAGTGTACCACATTGTTTTAGAAGAAAGCACATTTTTTGCTGAATATGAAGGAAAAAGTTTCACATATGCCTCTTTCCATGCCCATAAAAAGTATGTTTCTGCTTCCAGAAAACATCAATTATAGTGTCAACCAGTTAATGAATCAATTTATCTGTCAAAAACACTTAAACAGTTTTCTAAAACATAACCTATGTTGGTGCATATGAATTTAAACTATTTTGGAATTTCTGACATGATTAATATTCCATTTGATCTCTGTCCACAGTGTGATCTCTATAAATTGAGATTATCAAGCAAAAATTATAACTTGGGAGGAACCATTATTTTAGTAATTTAAAAAATAGAAATCAATCTTCCTTATAGAACTAAAATTTAGAGTTGACAACAAATTAAAAAAATAGTAATAAAATGTCTAAAAACCACACAAATTAAAAAAAAAACTTTACTGATGACACTTGTTTCTGACAAAGAATGTTAAAAGTAAAATTGAAGCATTCAATTTTTTTCCTTTTTGAGAAAAATATTCATGTAAGAAATGAAAATGTAGGTATATCATAAAATAACCTATTTTTTATATTTTAAATATAGTATACTATATCTAAGGGATTCATAATATATATGGTATATTTTACCAGCCTAATACATGTTGCATTTTAATGTTCAATGTATATATATGTGTGTGTATACACACAGATACACACATACATGTTATTTTTGTTTAAAATATTTTAAACATTGGTTTAAGCTTGGTATCTAACATAAAGTTGCATAAAAATATTTAAGTAGATTATTACATTCAAAGTTATTTCTTCTAGTTAAATGCACAATTATTCAGGAATTTTTAAAAATTATTTCTGAAACTGCAAGTAAATCAAACATGGTAGAAATAATATTAAAAGAAATTCAGAGCCCCTTGATCTCTTTCAGATAGCCTTTTGAAGGTTCTTTCTTTAGATCAATAATTTTTAAACTTTTTTGATTAAAGAAATTTTGCTTTTATTTTTGACCAAAGCAATTTTTTTAATAAAAATTGGATTATTCTTCTTACATGACATATCCTCTGATGTTTTATGTTTACTATCTTTTTGTCATAGTTATGTTAGGTTAATAGAGATTGTATTTTCACATGAATATCTTTTTTTCCCTAAAAATGAGGATCTTAAGCCTTTAGGATTGTTTCAAGCTTCAAAATTCTGTGATTTGCAGTTTTAGTTTTCTGATTTACAATAGTATGCTAATTTTCTTACTTAAGTAAACTTTAAAAAAAGATATATCCTGTGACATTAGCTGAATAGCAATTCTTAAATTCTTATTTTCTTTTTTTCAATTAAGGTTTGGTGTCTGCTTGATTGGTGTTAGGAGGGAGGATAATAAAAACATTTTGCTGAATCCAGGTCCTCGATACATTATGAATGCAACAGACATATGCTTTTATATTAATATTACCAAAGAAGAGAACTCAGCATTTAAGAACCAAGACCAGCAGCGAAAAAACAATGTATCAAGGTCGTTTTATCATGGACCTTCCAGGTTACCTGTACATAGCATAATTGCCAGCATGGGTAAGTACAAATAAGTCAGAAAAAATAAGTCTAAGTTAGCCTTTGGCCTATTAAAAAAGGAACAAGAAATATATTTTCCTTTTATTAAAATCTCAAGCAAAACTGAAAATGAGTGTTCATATTACAAACTATGACTAGATAGACAGAACACAATTTTAAACTAATTTAGGAAAAGATATTATAAAAATATGTCAATACTTATTTTATATACAACACCTGACTTTTATATTTATCATGTAAATTATCTAACCAATTATTCACACAGGCTATTTCCAATGCTATCAGTTTTTCTCAAAATTCTATTTCCATTTTCCATCTCATTGTCATCATTGACTTGGCTTCTGTGACACACACATGCACACACACACACACACACACACACACACACAAGAAAAGTGCAAGGAAAAAAAGTACAGTAGATCTCAACAAATAAGAATAACTGTAATATTTTGTCACCAGTCCACCTAGAGGTTTATAAATGTTTAGTTTTTGCACCAGAAAAATACAATATACCTGTTAAATAATTCTAAAACTTTTACTTAATCAATGGATTCAACCTCTTGCTTCTTCTCAAATTCTACACTCCTTAATTCATCTCTATTATCTAACTTCTGTTTCTGTATGTATGTATGTATGTATGTATGTATGTATGCATTTAGCAAAACAGCACACTGACCCCCTCCTCCTCTTCATTCCTTCCTCCTTCTATCCTTTCTCATTCTTCAAAGTGATGCATAGAAACAAAAACAGGTACTTTTGAACCTCATAGTGTGACATCTTTGTAAATTCCTAAAAAGCATCGTCTTCTATTGAAGGCTTGAAATCTTATGCAGGTTGTGTCTTTATTCCGTTCAGCCTGTAGTCACAGCACTGAAATTTCTTGAGCAAGGTTATCATTTTCCTCCTCATAGACTCTCTTTATAGCAAAGAAAAACATTGGCTGAGTTTTTCTTTAAAGAATCTAGTGTTTTCTATGTACCCCACATCCATTTTCCCAGATTGTCTCATGTGGTCAACTGTGCTCCAGAAAATGGCACTGTCTTTACCTAAATTACTAATGTAAAACCTCTTCACAGCAATGTGTTCAATATTCAACTGGCTATCAAATATTTCTGTCTGAGTGCCTTATAGAAATAACCAATATACCAGATTATAGAAATAACCAATACACCATATTCAGAAGATTGAGACTCCCCACCCGATTCCCTCCATTTTTGTTTGTTAAAAACAAATGACACCATTATTTTTCAATTTGTAAAGTCATAATCTAACTCACACTTCCTTCCTCCTTTCATTCCTCATAAATCAACATTCTATTAAATCTGATCACAGTATGGCCCCTAAAATAATGCACATCTTCTCATGTTCATGACCAGATATCCCTGTAGTCTGTGCTTTGTCATCCTGCCCTGGAGCTGTTGGATGAAACTTCTTGTCTTCCCTCCATTTTCTCTAATCTTTTTGTCCTGCACTCTATTCTTTGCTGTACACCATGGTGATAATATTTAAAGATAATTTTGATGTCATTCTCTTTAATCAGACATTTCACCTGTCCCCTTTCCTCAGTGGAAAAGTGTCTAACAGCATGGCTGTCAGAATGTCCAGTTTGCATGAGGCAATCCCAGTTTCTCTGGGGCAGCACAAGATTACATAGAGTGTTCTAGCGTGATTGTTAGGAGCATTCCATTTCACTCTTAGAAGCACTGAAGTTGCAAGATAAATTATAGCCACTTTACTTACAGACTTTCAAAAATGATTTCTTATTTTTATGGCATCACATTTTACTACCCTTTTAATTACTCTCTTAAACTGTCACACTAAATTCTTTTCAGTCTTCACTAATGTTTTGTCACCAGTAGACCTTAGCCATTAAATTTCAACTGACACGACTACACTCTGCCCCATTATTATTTAAGTAACCACTCTAATCCTTTATATCACAGTCTAAAAACTATCATACTTACTCAGACGTATTTCATGGGGAAAAAAAAGCTGGGAATATAACTCAGCAGTACAGTGCCTACCTGGTAAGCACAGATTTGATTCCTAGTAGAAACAAACAAACAAAAAATTTGAAACAAACAAAAAAATACATATTTCACGGCCTATGTAGATGCATTTTTTCATAATTCAGCAACTGTTTGTTAAATACCTAATATGTATCATAACTCTCCTAAGTATTCATGATTTAAAAATCATTAGTCAACAAAACTCTGTAGCTTATAGACGTTAGAGTCTATCTTGGGGAGGAATGGCAATACATATAAACATTGTATAAAGTAAGTGAATTATTTAGTATGTTAGAAAGTAGTAGGAAAAAAGAAAACAGAACTAGGAGAAGGAATTATGAATTCAGGGAGGACTAGATTTTTAAGTGATTTGGTTAGTGGCCCTATTAGAAAGGGACAGTTGTCCAAATACTGGAAGGAAATGGGAAATTTAGTCCAGTAAATGTCTTGAGAAAAAACATTTTGGGCAGAGACAGTCATTAGCTCAAAGAGCACGTGGTGGGAGCTTGACTGAGTGTTCCTGGACTGGTAAAGTGACCCTGTGACTTGGGACAGTGAGTGATAAAAGGATAAGAGATGAAGAGGGACTGGGGGTAAGAGGTCAGATCACATGAGCTTTTTAAATCAAGTGAGAATCACTGCAAGGTTTTAAGCAGAATAACTGCCTGATGTCACCTAAATTCACTTACAGATACTTAGGCTGCTGTGGAGAATAGATGTTTCGAGGCAAGTATCAGATTGTTTTAAAAAAATGCTAAGAAAGAGAGATTCCAGATATATCTTGAAGATTGCAGTGTACAGAATCCCTTAAAGAATTGCAAGCGAGCTACGAGCAGGGCTACAGAATTTGGAAGGGATCTGAGACTGTTGTTTTGAACTGCTTGGTAAAAGAAATAGCAATTGAGATAGAGAAAGCTGTGAGGAATGCAGATTGGATTCCAGGGAATACAGAGTTTAGTTTGGAACAAACTGGATTTCAGATGCCTCTTAGACATCAAGAGAAAGAAGTCAAACAGGAAGTTAGATGTAAGAATCTATATTTCAGGAGCTAGTGCAGTTTGCAAAATCAAATTTAGATTTTGGAGCTTATATATTCTTCTAAAGTCATAAGACAGGAAAAGATCATTTAAAAAATGAGTACTAAAAAAATCTGAAAACAAAGAATAGATTTAGCAGCAAACCAACAAGAAATAACAGGGAAATATGAAAAACTCCTCTCAAACACTGGGGAGGAGCCACTGACAAGGGGTAGGAAACCCTGAGTGGTGTCTAGAACACCAGTGAGCCAGCTGTATGAAGGTAGTTGCACTATAAGACATGTCAGTGATGCTGATGGATTATATAAGAAGAAGAGTAGTGAATGTCAATTGAATTTGTTTATTTTTCTTTCCTCCCATGCTGGGGATCGAACCCACAGCCTCATCCATGTGTGTTTTCAAATCCATTTTATTTGAGGATAAAGAGAATGAAAAAAATGAAGAAGAAGAGGAGGAAAAGAAGAAAAAGGAGGAAGAGGAGGAAAAACGGAGGGCAAGAAGGGGAGGGGAGGAGGAGAAAGAGAAAGAAGAAGAGGAAGAAGAAAAGGAAGAAAAAGAAGAACAAAATTTCAAGACATATCAATCAGGGCAACAACATCAATTGAATTTAATAATTGAATGATTATTTTTCTGTAAGAATTCTTCCAATAAAATAGTGCTGAAGATTGCCAGATTGGAGTAGGTTGAAGAAGGAATGATAAAAGACAAATTAGAAACACTGGGTCTAGAAAACTCTTACAAAAATTTCCACAAAGAGGAGCCAAGAAATGGCTTGGAAGTTGCAGTAGAAGGACAAGGAATTGAGAAAAATTTCTTACCTAGGGAAAACAACAGAAAGAAATAATTAGCTTTTAGTACTCAAGATGTATATGTCATATATATATGTGTTTGTATGTACAGATAATGATTATTATATTTTATTAACTTTAATGCTGTCTGATCAATATGCCATTTAGGTGGCAACCATCTTGATGCATTTTCATGTTTCATTGCTTTAGGTACCGTGGCCATAGATTTACAAGACACGAGTTGTAGATCAGCAAGTGGTCCCACGCTGTCTCTTCCTGTAGAGGGAAGCAAAGAAATAAGAAGACCCAGCATTGCTCCTGTTTTAGAGGTGGCAGACACATCATCAATTCAAACATGCGATCTTCTAAGTGACCAATCAGAAGATGAAACTGCACCAGATGAAGAAGTTTCTTCAAACTTAGAGTAGGTTTAGACAGTCTTAAGTGTGAGATTATTTGGTTTTTGCGCTAATATCCTCAAATGTTACATTTATGTACCACATTCATAGTGAAGAGGCTAAAATTCTTACCTGATGGACATTCTAGACTCATTCCTTTGCAATTGTACCAACATCCTCCTGCTGACCACTGTCTTTTTGACTGCAGAGCATTCTAAGCCTTCAAGTTTCTGGCTTCAACGTATCATTTTTCAGCCTCATTTTTGTCTAAATTATTTAATATTCATATATATGTCTTGTATGTATTATGCATATTCATTTTCCTAGGATATAAGCTGCATTTTCCCAAACATATTTTTATGGTGTTGCGCCTTCTACCGTTAATATCTTTTATTCCTTATCTGTGTTGAAGTTTAGTCAATTTTTCACTGTCATGCAAGCACAGCTTCCTACAGGAAGCCTTTGCTTTCTCTCTCACTAGTTTCTACCTATTTCATTCCATATGCAACAGTCATGTTTTGTTTGTGAATAAAAGAAATGCCCTTGTTTCTACACTTCCATAATGTTACAGTGCCTATGTCATATTAGTCATATTTTATCCTGAAGTACTATTTGTTTACATATTTTATTCCACATGTTATATTGCCACAGGAAAATGGAAAGAAAGTATAGTAGTTCACAACTCTGACCGTGGAGACTAGTAGGTTGCATTTGTTATGCTAACTCCATCTTGTTCTGGTGATGGTAGAGGTGATTCATTAAACCATGTGGCCTATGTCTTCTTGACTAGTAAATGACATGTAATTACTACCCCACAACATTATATGAAGATTAAGATAATGAGAAAAAGTATTGATGACAATGTTTTGTGTACATCAAGCAGCTAGTTAATATTGATTAACATTAGTAATAGTGGCATTGGTGACATCACCTAACATTTTCCCCAGTATCTGCATTTAAATTCATTTAAGGTTGAGCTACATTAAAATAAACTGAAATATACTGAAACTTAAAAAAATCTCTTTTTGAAAAATTTCACATGCTTTTATTTCACCTACTACAAGGAAATGGAGGCACCCATAGAATAAAAACCTCTCTTGAAGAAGTTAGTCTGAGCCTCCAATGTATTTATGGGAATCAGGGTGGAAATGGGAGGTGTGGGAAACAGTGTGCGTGCAAGAAATATTTTAAAGTGTGACTGAAATTCTTTCATTAAGTGTCTGAAAAAAATCAGTGGTAAAGGTTTTCATTTCTAAAATAAAGTGTAGGGGATATTGAAGTAACTGGGGAGATTGCCAACTTATCAAACTTGTCTGGAAAAACAGTTTCAACTAGTTTCAAAGCTCGTGGTTTCTCAGATAAAGGGAAATCAGAGCTTTTTTTGAGGGAGGAGGAGGTAAAAGAATGTTTGTTCTATTTTACTTCCTAATTATCATTTGTGTTCTAGTTTAGAAGACCCACTGTTTGTACCAATACAGCCAAAATACGCAGGTGGCTATTTTGTAAACGTTAGCAAACAAACTAAATGTCTTTGGTAATATTTTAAGTGTGATTGCAGCAAAAACTATTTTAACTAATTAACTCAATCATTTGCTCCTTTTTGGCTTTGCATTCATGGGTAATGAATATTGATAAAGTGAATCAAAGTAAGGCATTTTGCTTTAAATATATTTTGTAAAATTTACATTACTATTTTTAAAAATATATTTATATCTTCTAAGTTGAGAGTTGTGAATTTTTCTAGAAAGAAACTAGTAAGTTAGTAAGACAGACTTTACATTATTACATTACAATTATTGTGCTTTCTTGAAGCCAAACACATATTTGTATAATACATAAGGAAATAAGAATGTGTTAAAATAAGATACTTTTATAGATACAAAACTAAAACTGCATAACTTCTAGGTGACAGAAGATACTATATTGATTTTTTCAACTTTTTAAAAATGTAAATTACCTTTACCTCTCAAGTCTTTAGTGATCTAGACTTAATCTTTGAGTCATAATTACCCATTTTTTAATAAACTGTTGACTTTATCAAAATATGACTGCAATGCAGAGTTACTGATTCTATTTTATTGTAACGAGAACATGGTCATAATTTAATTTTCCATTGGTAGTATTTCATATTTTTTGCAGGTATGCTAAAGGCTACCCACCTTATTCGCCATATATAGGAAGTTCACCTACTTTTTGTCATCTCCTCCATGAAAAAGTGCCATTTTGCTGCTTAAGACTAGACAAGGTAAGCATTTATTATAGCCCTCATTTTCCCTGGTAATATCATAGCACTATGTAATTTCATCTATTTAAATAATACATATAGTATTGTGACTAAAGTATGCTTAAAGGATATTCTTTGCAAATGTTATCTGAAGTGGTTAATTTTCCATTTGTAATTTCACTAAAGATTATACAAATATTTTATTCTTCTACTTTAGCCAAGTGTATCGATGAGTTATATTTTTAAGGGAAGAAAAAGAGGTACCAGGATCTTAAAACTGGGAATCCTTAACATCCAATGCCTCCCAAAATCACTTTGACCGAATGTGCATTTTTCATTTTACCATTTTTACATTAAAAAGTTTCAATGTGAAGTCTCTTGAAATCGTTAGAGCAGTCAGCTCTAATACAATAAGCATAAAAATGCATCTGTGAATAGTCATGAGGCAGTATACATATTTTGCCTAATATTTTCTTTTGCATCCTTTGTGTAGTTGTTGGTTTAAATATATATGGTCTAAAGAAGCTGCTCAAACAAAATAAAATTTGAGAATTCTAGTTTTTTATCTTATAGTCAGTGGGCAATATAGATAAAAAATAAGAACTTTATGTGCACCATAGGTATCCAAAGGTCCCACCAATTCCACCAAAATTTGGAGTTAAGAGTTAAAATTCCAATTTGTCATTTAAAAAGTGTACATTTTAAGCAACTAGCTTCACCAATAAATGTTTAGTTTTCTCTTCTGTAAGGTGAATATAATTTTACTACAAACTTTGTAGTGCTCTTGTAAGGATTAGGATTATATATGTTTAATTTAATAACAAAGGAATTTAATAACTGAGTAGGTACCTAATTCACTTTGTTAATGTTCTTATTACTTAATTTATTTTGCTAGTATTCATATTATTTTACATAAGCATTACAAATTTTGGTTCTTGCTATCATTCTTTTTTTTAAATTTTATTTAAAGAGAAAAAACAAAACAGAAAAAGGGTAGAAATAATACATAATTTCAAAAAAATGAACAGTAAGAAATCATTAGTTGACAAATTACATATTGTCCTGTTAGAAATAGTTGTTCAAGTTACCAAAGTAAAACGTACAAAATGAACATTCAAACGGCGAGACTGCAAACAGTTCTGTTCAATGATCCAACAAAAACTTAGTAGTATGGTGATCAATCCTACACACTTAAACATACACGCAGTTATATCCATTAAAGCACTTTCTTTTTGTCTTTTCTGTCAATAGCAATCACACATTTTGGTTTTTATTACTCCTACAGTTCTCATTACATTTTACACTAGAGACACAATGTGATAATTATAAATATGATTCTTACTTATTTTACTAATGAGGATAGTCTGGAGGTGTCTCCATTTACCTATGAAAGCCTCAAGATCATCCTTTTTATAGCTGAGTAATATTCCTGAGTATAATATAATATTCCTTTTTATAGCTGAGTGATATAGCTGAGTGTATAAAAATACCACATCTTTTCCATCTATTCTGTGATTGCTGGGCATCTTGGTTGTTTCCAAGATTTGGCTATTACAAATTCTGCTGCTATGAACATGGGTGCACATATATCACTGTGATATGACCTTCTTAGTTTTTCTGGGAAAATACCCAGGAGGGGAATAGCTGAATTGAGTTGAACTTCCAATCCTAGTCTTCTGAGAATTCTTAATACTGATTTCCATAGTGGTTGCACCAGTCTATACTCCCACGAATAATGGAGCAGCATTCCTTTTTCCCCACAGCCATAACCAACATTTGTTATCAGTTGATTTCTTGATGGCAGCTATTCTTTCCAGAGTGAGACGAAATATCAGTGCATTTCTTGAAGACCAGTGATGGTGAACATTCCTTCATGTATTTATTTGCCATTTGTATTTCTTTATCTGACAATTGTGCGTTCAGGTCAGATGCCTATTTTTGGAGAGGGTGTTTGAATTTGGGGGGCGTGATGTTTTTCAATTCTTTATATGTTTTGGATATAAGTTCTTTGTGCGAGGGATTGATGACTAAAATTCTTTCCCATTCTGTGGGTTTTCTTTTCAATAATATGACATCCCAGTTGTTGATTCCTTGAAGTGTTTCCCAAGCAGTTTGTGTTTTGTTAATGAATTCTCTGCCTACCCCTATGTCTCCAAAATTTCTACCTCTTGTCTTCCAGTAGATTTAGTGATTCTGTTTTAATATTTAGGTCTTTGATCCATTTAGACTTTAGTTTTGTGCATGGTAATAGACATGGATCTAGTTTCAGTGTTTGGCATGTGCAGAGCTAATTTTTCCAACACCATTTATTAAAGAGGCTATCCTTCCAGTAAACATGTTTAGCCCCTTTGTCAAATACCAGGTGGCTGAGTACCTTTGTAGTTGTGCTTGTATCTTCTAATCTGTTCCATTGATCCTCAGGTCTATTTCTTTGCCAGTACCATGCTGATTTTATCATTGTGGCTTTGTAGTAAAGTTTCAAGTCAGGAATTGAGATGCCTCTTGCCTTGCCTTTGTTGTCTAGAATTGCCTTTCTTATTCTAGGTTTATTCTGTTTCCAAATGAATTTTAGGAGTATTTCTTCTAGATCTGTGAGGTATGTTAATGGTATTTTGAGTGGGATTGTGTTAAGTCTGTAACAGTTTTGGGAGTATAGCCATTTTCACAATGTTGGTTTTTTCCTACAAGCCAAGAATAAGGAATATGCTTTCATTTTCTAATATCCTCTTCAATCTCCTTTTTTAGTATTGCATAATTTCCAGCATATAGGTCTTTTACATTCTTAATTAGGTTAATTCCTAAGTATTTCATTTTTTTATTTCATTTTTTAAGATGTGATGGGTGATATTTCCATAATTTCTCTTTCAATGAGTTTTTTGTTTGTGTACAGGAATGCTATTGATTTTTGAGTGTTGACTTTGTATCTAGCTACACTGCTGAATTTGTTTATTATGTTTAGTAGTCTTTTAATGGAGTTTTTCAGGTCTTCTATATAGAGTATCATATCATCTGCAAATAATGATAATTTAACTTCTTCCTTTCCTATCTTTATTCTTTTTATTTCTCTCTCTTGTCTGATTGCCTTGGCTAGTGCTTCCAGAACTATATTGAATAAGTGTGATGATAGTGGACATCCTTGTCTTGTTCCTGAATTTAAAGTGAAAGCTTTCAATTTTTGTCCATTTGTATAATGTTGGCTGTTGGTTTGTCATAGATAGCCTTTATAAGATTGATGTAGACCCTGTGTATTCCAAGTTTCTGAAAGATTTTTATTGTGAACATGTGTTGGATTTTATCGAAAGCTTTTTCTGCATCTATTGAGGTGACCATGTGGTTTTTGTTTTTAACTCTGTTGATATGGTGTATTACATTTATTGATTTGTGTATGTTAAACCATGCATTCCTGTGATGCATCCCAGTTGGTCATGATGTATAATCTTCTAGATATTTGCTGAATTCTATTTGCCGGTTGTTTTATTGAGAATCTTTTCATCAATGTTCATTAGTGAGAGGGTCTACAGTTCTCCTTTTTGGTTAGGACTTTCTCTGGTTTTGGAATCAGAATAATACTTGTCTCAAGGAATGATTTAGGGAGGTTTTCATTGAAGACTTTAATGAGTATTGGCATCAAATCTTCTTTTCTTGTAGAATTTCTTGTAGAATTCAGCTATGAATCCATCACGACTTGGGCCTTTCTTTGTTGGTAACTTTTAAATTTCATTTTCAATTTCAATAGCTGATATTGGGTTATTCAAAATTGCTATATCTTCTTGGTTGAGCTTTGGTAGTACATATGTTTCTAGAAATCTGTCCATTTCCTCTGTGTTTTCCACTGTATATGAGTAGAGATTTTCAAAACAGGTATTTATGATCTTTTGAACGTCCATGGGATCTTTAGTAATTTCCCCCTTTTCAGTCCTTATTGCATGAATTTGGGTTTTTCTTTCTTTTTCTTGATAAAGGTAGCTAGAGGTTTGTCAATGTTGTTTATTCTCTCAAAAACAGCTTTTTGATTCATTAATTCTTTGTATTGTTTTTTAGTTTCAATTACAGTGATTTCTGCTCTAATCTTTACAATTTCCTCTCTTCTATGAGCTTGGATCTTAACTTGCTCTTCTTTTTGTAGAAGCTTGAGATGAAGGATTAGGTTGTTTATTTGTGCATGTACTGTTTTCGTGATGCGACAATTTATTGCTGTATATGTCCCTCCTAACACCACTTTCATTGCATCCCACAGATTACAGTATATTGTTTTTGCATTTTCATTGAACTGTAGGTATTGCTTTATTTCTTCTTTAATTCCATGTGCAGCTCAGTGGTTATTCAAAAGACTGTTTTTAGTTTCAGTGTATCTATGCAGGTTTTGCAATTTTCTTACCATTAATTTCCAATTTCAGTGTGGTATGGTCAGATATTACACATGGGATAATTTCAATACCTTTGCAATTACTTAAGAATGTTTTCTGGGATAATATGTGTTCCGTTTTGGAGAATGTCCCATGCATAGTTGAGAAGAATGTGTATTCTGATGTGGTTGGGTGAAACACTGTGTAAACATCTACTAAGTCCAATTGCTTGCAGGTATGATTCAGTTCTATTATTTCTTTGCTGATTTTTGTCTAGTTGATCTATCTCTTTGTGACAATGGGTTGTTAAGATGCCCTGTTACAATTGTGTTTTTGCGTATTTGGTTTTTCATGTCCATTAGTATCTGTCTTATATAGTTGGGTGCCCCTGTATTTGGTAAATATATTTATAATTGTTAGTTCTTCCTCTTGAACTTTTCCACTAATGAATATGTAGTGACCTTCTTTATCTCTTTTAATCATGTTAGGTTTGAAGTTCATGTTGTCTGCAAATAGAATAGTGACTCCTGCTTTTTTCTGGGTTCCTGTTGCATGGAACATTGTTTTCGATCCTTTGACTTTTAATCTATGAATATCCTTTTAGGTCAGATGTGTTTCTTGTATGCAGCATATTGTGGGATTATGTTCCTTGATCCATTCGGTGAATGTATTTCT